TTTAGGGTTTGATAAAAATTCCAATTTACATTATGAATTTCATTGTTATTCCATGTCCTTCAAGGTTATTATTTGTAATATATTTATTGTTTTATTAATTTTATTATATTTTATTGTCATTCCATGTCGTTGAATTATGAATTTTAGTGTTATATATTTATTATCGTGAGATGACGTCTCTCATTCATTTCGATTAATGATTTATATGTTAAAAAATGCAACTGACGATCCAAGTTATTTAAATGACAGAGCTATATTAGCGCCTACTTTGGAGGTCGGTGAGTCTATCAATCAATACATGTCGGATATGAATTCTGCTGAAGGTCGTACATATTTGAGCTCTGACAGTACGTCTAAGTCGGATTCCGGCAATGGCTTTTTGGTTGATCTCCACACACCCGAGTTCTTGAATAGCATTAAGTGTTCAGGAACGCCGAACCATGAGTTGCATTTGAAGATAGGAACTTCGGTCATGTTGTTGCCAAACATGGACCATTCTATGGGTCTGTGTAATGGCACATGTTTTTGGTTGTTACGAAGCTCTCTCTGCATGTTCTTGAATGTAGGATATTGATTAGAGATCACGCAGGTGAGAAGGTGTTGATTCCTCGGATGAACATAACTCCTTTTGATGTTAGGGTTCCGTTTAAGTTCCAACGTTCCAACGGAGGCAATTTCCCTTATGGTTTCCTATGCCATGACTATAAACAAGAGTTAGGGTCAGTCTTTATCACATGTTGGACTGTTCTTGAAAAAACCTGTTTTTAGTCATGACCAGTTATATGTCGCTGTTTCACGTGTTACTAATAGGAAGAGGTTGAAAATATTAGTTTGTGGGGACGATGAGTTACCCAGTAATCAAACTAATAACGTTGTATATAAGGAGGTTTTTAATAATGTATAACCTTTTACCAATGACGATTTTATGTTTACTTTATGAATGTCATACGTATTATAATAACTTATTAATTAATGACCTTTTAATTTTTTAAAATTTTTCAAAACATGTACTAGCCCGTGCATCGCACGAGTTACATACTAGTGTAAATCAAATATAATAAGCATTTCTTGCCATTATGCATTAATTACATTCTAATTATAGATATTTTACACAATTCCTTAAAACATACCTCGAAGCATTAATTGCAATCGGTTTTAACTTCCCTCGGCAACTGGATTTATTGTTTTAAAAAAATATTCCATAATATTTGATTAAACACTAAATGCGGTTGTTTAGAATCAATTCTATTTAAAAGCAATGTTATTATGGAAATAAATATTATGAAGTATCATTTTAAAATCAGTATAATTATCGAATCAAATAATTTAACCACGATTCAATATTATTAATTCAATTTATATCTCTTTTTAGACTTTTCAATTCATTTTAATATAACATAAATTTGCCGTAAAAATGAGAGTAGAACTTTACATAATCATGGTATCAATATTAATAATATAAATGATAAATAAAAAATTTAATTATTGGGGAACAGATGGGAAGTTCGCCCGAAAGTTCATATAAATAAATCGCATCTTTAAACTTTAAATTTTTTTTTTTTCATATATAGTTATACAATATATGCAACTTAACTAGAAGTAAAAAATATAGTTAGTTTTTTGAGCTACAACTTAACTACAATATATTTGCCCGGTATGATTATTTTTTTTTTATCAATTTAGTTACGAAACATTTTTTTCATTTAAAAATAGTGATTTAATGACATCCGATTTATTTAGTTAGTTTTTTGAGCTACAAATGATAAAATATTATTGTTATTTTTTTTAAACGTAATTATTTTTGTAAATATCGTTTCACAAAAGATACAATCAAAAATCTAAATCTCTGTTAAAACATAACAAAAACAAGATTGTTCTCAATATTGCAATGAATTTGTAATAAAAAACGAGAATAATTGAAAAAAAAAGATATACTTATATCTCAAAATTCACACTTTAAGGTAACAACTTTTCTTATATTCTATATAAAATTAAACTTCACCAGATAAATCATATCTTTAGTATTTATCACAATAATACATGTTTACACTATAATTTTAATTTGTGGTGCTAACATAAAGAAAATCAACGAAAAAAATAAATAAATAATAAAGTAAGAAGGTGTCTATGCAATTCGCAATTACCAAGTGGAGAGCAATCTTGGTAAATATCGGTCTACGGTTGCCAAGTGCAATGTAATTTTGCATGGAAAAATGGCGATGTTTTTAATAATGTATGACTTTTTCATGACGAACATTTTACAAGTATCTAATAAATACTCTATGTATTATAATTTATTGATTAATAATTTAGTTATAAATTTTACCAAAACAAATATAGCCCGTGCATCGCACGGGGTTACGTACTAGTATATATAACTAAGCATATAAAATTACATAAAAAATATTTATTTATATTCCACTAAACATTTTGCTAAAACTCTAAAGTAAATTTGTACATATATTTAGAATAGTGAAATAGAATATATCACTCTAGAAGTACACATCTACCCACAAATGTTGATCTAATCTGATCTGGGATTTAATTAGTATAAAACTAAAAGGTAAATATTTAGACGGGATTATTTCATTATACATCTCCTTATATTTATTAGGTTAATATTTAAAATTTGTGAGACATTTTATATTTAAATGACTTGTATTTTAAAAATTCTTAACGCCTAATAGGAGAGTGTATAACGTTTTTACTTTGGAAAAATATAATCACGGTACATGTAACGGTCCAATTCCAATTGTAGTGGATTTAAGCAGACAATTATATCCAACAACTACAGATAGTTCATAGCGATAGGCGAGACTCGAGAGGGCAAAGACTGAACCTACAAAGACTGAACCTATCCCCTTAGTAGGGAGAGGGCAAAGACTGAACCTACAAAGACTGAACCTATCCCCTTAGTAAGGGAGAACGGGCACTGCCAAAGCTTACTTTAAATCTAAGCACATAAAATGAATACTTACTTTAAATCTAAGCACAAAAAATGAATGAATCCACATAATATGACAACTGCACATCACATTACATTACTAAATTTTTCAATACATATACATAGCTTAAAAACAAATAAGAAAATACTATTTTTAGTTACTATTTTTTTTTTTGGCTACAATTAGTTACTAAATTTTTAAATATATATTTATATGACTATAAAATAAAATAAGTAGTATTTTTAGAATTTAAATTGTTATGGTATATAGGCTTGGTTTTTTATGAAATATTTTTTGTTCAAAATGAGTTATTTTTTTTAATCATAATTAATTTTGAAAAAGATAGTATAGCTCGATGTTAGTAGAATTTTAAGAATAAAGTAAAATAGTATTTAAAATACAATGATTAAAATTGATTTAACGTGAGTAGATGATTAATGAATTAAAGTTGTTGTGATGCGTAAAAATAATTAGTTTGTATTATTTAATTATATAAATAATATTAAAGATAGTAGAGTTGAGTTAACGTTAAATTATATTTGAGTATGAAATAAAGTTAAGTAAATTATATTATAAACAATCAAGCTCTAAATTGTAGACTCTTCATGTAAAAAATTGTTTAATTCTTCATAAGCAGACCCGTGAGCCTCGGCTGACGGAGGAGTTAGGAACTCCGCCTCAATCAGCTTCCTCTGCGTCTCCTTTTCCATTTTTTCGGTTCTCTGTGACATGTTAAATACTTATATACGGTGTTTCGACTCTTTGGGTTATCTGCGTGAGAGGGATATTTGGGAAGTTGGTAAGGCAATAAGCACATAAGAGAAATTATTAAGGCAGAGAAACCGGAGAAACAAGTTTATGGGATTGTTCCAAAAAGAGAGTCTAAGAGCATCTCCAATAGTATGTCAAATGTAGGATGTAGAAGCTATACGATAAAAAAAACTTCTCCAACAGTATTTTTTCTACTTCTATCTATGCTGATGTGGCATGAAAGAGATAGAATTATTCTAGAAGTCTTTCTACATGTGAAAGTACTTCTAGATGTGATGAGTCATTTTTTTTCTTTGCTTAATTATTTATTTTTTTATTTTAAATTATCCTTATACAATTCATAACAATAAAATTTACTAAAACATGTATATAGTATTTATTAAAAGACTAACTAAACCTGAAGAAAGATTTAATTTATAATTTAAGTCGTTGATTAAATTATAGTTTGTTGGTATTTATTTGTACACACTTTATCAAACACAAATTAATTTACATAATGAAAAATAAATGAAGTAAGCATTACAGAATCTCCAAGATGACTGAAAAAATTGAAAAACTCTTCAAATCATATTATAAATTTAATGGTATATATTCTGTTACAATTATGTATTAAAATACATAATGATCTTATAAATTTAGTGGTATATATTTTGTTACAATTATGTATTAAAATATATATAACAAAAGGAGATTTTAAGAAAAATAAGGATACAAAACACCTATTACAAATTTAATGTATATATTTTTCTAAAAATTATGCATTAAAATACATAATAAATACTGCATAGTAGAATAATAATTTATATTTTGTCACCCTTCAACTGTTGCAATATATATCGTTGAAATTCGATTGCAATTTGTTTTTTTTTTTACTTTTTTTAGAACAACAAAATAAAAAAATAATATAAAAAAAACGTGTATAGACATTTATTGTGTGTAAACCATTGGAGATTTATTTATAAAATTGTCATTCTATTCTATCCACGTGGGGGAGAAGCCATCTAGTACGGACAACAATACCATCCCCAAAGTGTAGAAGCACAATGAGGAATGCCTAAGCCGAGTTGAATCAAGCCGCTGGCAAAATACATGGAAACTTATATTAGTTCCGACAATTCATATAATCCATATTTAACAGCCGAATTAACATAATTGAGACATCACATCAACAAAACAAAACTACTCGAACACTAATCAGCTCTTGAAGTCATGACCCAACCTGATTAATTATACACAGGCTTTGTTTGTTTATAGGCTTTTCCATCATTTCATTCAGGCAAATTATCAAACACCTTTCACGACCTCATAACCGCCGCCCATCTCGCAAATCCTCTCCCAAATCTCTTTCTCCACCGGCAAAACCGACAGCCTCGGCTGCCTGAGAAGCAGGAACTCCGCCCCAGTGAGCTCCCTCTTCATCTCCGCCAGGCCGACAGCGGTTTTCATCTCCCCCACCGCCCTCACGTCCACCGCGCCGTCGCCCTCGTTGCCGTACCAGACGCGCGCCACCTCGACGACGCCGACCACGCGGCGGGACATGGCGCCGGAGTGGTAGAAGAAGCAGAGGTCCCCCACGCGCATGCGCTTCATGTACTTCTGTGCCTGCTTGTTCTTGACGCCGTCCCATTTAGAGACACCACTGTTGGCAGCCTGGTCGTCCCACGACCACTCGCCGGGCTCTGTTTTCAGCAGCCAATAGTTCTTCTCCATTTCTCTCTCTCTCTCTCTCTCTCTCTCTCTCTCTCTCTCTCTCTCTTCCTCTGTTTTCAGCTTTTATTGTATTAAGACTTGTTAGGATATTTGGGAAGGTGGTAAGGCGGGAAATAATGGGTACTGCTACTCATCTTTGGCGCGGAAAATTAATTTTTATTTCCGGGTTGAGATGCTGAAGAATTTTTTTTTTTGTTTGATACAGGGACCTTCCGATTTCCGGATTCACAAGGGAACCGACTAATCCAGAATCGAGCCGGGTAGGAAAACTCTAAATGAGAACACTATATATAATCCAAATTTTGGGCTCTTATCATGTGACATTTGCAAGAATAACACATTCAACAATTATACTAATTTTTTTTTTAAAAAAAATAATATTGTCAAATTAACGAAAACCAACTCCCAAAAAAATATGTGATATAACTAGATATGATAATATTTCCCGTTTCAAATTACATCACATTTGGGATATATATGTTGATATTCGAATTGGAGGAAATATTTATTTACTACACGTGCTCATATACGGAACATATAATTAATGAATAAATAATAGCAACTTGGATGTTTGGTCGGATAACCTTCCTTAGACAGCCGGACAAAGGACATTTTCCACGCCAATTTGGAGACATAATGGTAATTGCGGAGATGAGATTAAAATATCTCAAGGTCGGGATCGGATGAAATTATTGGCCAATCTTATATTAGCACGTGAGCCACCACAAGACACGTAGGAACAATCCCATGCGCAATATAATACAATAACCACGTAAAAATGCGGGCCTCATTCTCAGCCCCCCAACAAGTCTCGGGCTATTGCGACCTTAGCTCGGGTTTTCTTGTATCTAAAGAGAAATCCGAGTTAGAGTTCTGTCTTTGCTCATTGAATTGAGTTATATAGTCGATCGAGAGAGGCCCTTATCTTGCTTTATCCAATCCCATTCACTCAATGAGGACTGAGAAGATATGAATTCGTCCAGAACAAAACTAAATAAACCAAATACAAAGTGGAAAAAATATTCTTCTAACCCTGACAATACACATATTTAAACCCAAAACAAAAATATTTCACCAATAATATAAAAAAACCAATCACATTTGCAACCAAGACTTGTGCATATTCATCCTAACTCCTCACACAAACTTTATGAAAAATCATCCTCACTCTCATCATATTTTGCTCCCTGAAAATAAATAGAAATCCAAAAAAAATGACACAAAAACTATAAAAAACTGCATTAAACACAATAATGATAACTTTACAAAAACATACAAAACACAACAAACAATATTATTACGCAAGATCACCATCACAAAATAAATACAGCTAGTCTACTTCGAAACAACAATAGGTTACCTTAATAAACGTAAAGAAAAAAGAAAAGAAAATACCACTAATATGAACAAAACAAAAATAATAACACGAAGCGCGTTTGGATAAAAAGAAAAAAGAAACAAAAAATTAAATAAAATAAAAATGGGATAAGAACCCTAACTAACAGAGAATGCTACCATTCCCTTACTAGATGGTTCCGTTGTATTCTTTAAACGTATATTATCTACACATTACTAGATTATCTGCGTCCGTATGGTAGCATTTTATGAAATTGTCCAGAAACGAAGGTCCAAATAAAATGTTGCTAGAAGGCCACTGGAAGCTCAGTTCACTTCATTTCGATCCTCCAAACTTCCCCATATTGCAGAATAGTCCCCGAAAA